TATTCTATTTGTACCCCGCCTATCTGGTAAATACGACCACTGCGGATAATAAATAAAATAAATAAATATTAAGACAAGTGAGCCCGTTTTTCACAACGGCGCATGCTCCAGCTCCGCAAAGAAAAATATCTGCCCTCCCTATGACGAGTACGCGGCGCCATCCTTTTCTCAGCCACCAGAGAATTTTCCGAGAGGGCGGGGGAATTCCTCCCGCTGGGCCTCTCGGAGCCCGTGGCTGAGTCAGCTTTACCCAGAATTGAGTGCGGGCGGGCGCCCGGTGAAGTAGAAGTTTCTTGCTTCCTGGCAAGCAAGGACAACCCGGTGGGTGAACGCCACCGCAGAAGGATGGCGGCTGCGGTGGGTCAGTCCGCCCCGGCGCACTCTCGAGCAGTCAGCGAGCTGTGCCAGAATTCCCGGGAAACATTTTTAGAGGCCTCCCGCTTGCTGCTTACCTATGCGGATAATATCATCAGGTGAGAGAGACGGACGGGCCCAGAAAACAACGGTAGGGAGGGGTGGAGCCGTTTTGCGTCTGTCTCGGCGCTGAGGCAGTTGGGACTTGGTTCGCCTTTGGCAAATAAAAGCTTACTGTTCACAGCGACGAGAGTTATTTGCGGTGCCGCGGGCGGGCAGGTGCCGCGTTTTGGAATGGCTAGATTTCGTTACCTTCGGTTGTCGAGGGCACCGCGGAATAAGGGCGCTGCCCGTCGTGTGGTTGGACAGATGCAATCAGATCTTCCCCCTTAAGCCAGTTCCTTAAACAGCAGACCACATTTCTGTAGTATGGTGTATCGCAAGTTTCTTGCACTGAATATACCGCTGCTGTGAGTTAAATCGTTGTACTCATTTTTCCCCCGTGTCAGCCCATTAAGAAGCTGTTCTGCAGCTGCTCAATAGGTTGCGAGGGACACGTGTTTTTGTTTTTATCGCTGCCCTTTTGTAAGGTCATTCCATCTACAGCATGCCCAGCAGACTTTAATTGGAGACGAGATCTGATCGCCAGGACTGACAGTTCTAATCACTGTGCTGCAAGGCAAATGGCAGTGGTCGGAGTGATGATGAAGATGAGACCCTCTGAGCATCCGTGGACTTCCACCTTCTTCCTTACCAAGTGACAGTATTGCCTTCGATCTTTTAGGCCAGAGGCTGATATCTCCTGATTGGGTTAGAGTTGTAGTCCCATGTATTTAAGAGATTGCACACCTATGCTTTGTTGTTGTTTAGTCATTAAGTTGTATCTGACTTTGTGACCATGGACCAGAGCATGCTAAGCCCTCCTGTTTTCAACTGCCTCCCGGAGTTGGGTCAAATTCATGTTGGTAGCTTTGATGGCACCGTCCAGCCATCTCGTCTTCTGTCGTCCCCTTCTCCTCTTGCCTTCACACTTTCCCAACATCAAGGTCTTTTCCAAGGAGTCTTCTCTTCTCATGAGACGGCCAAAGTATTGGAACTTCAGCTTCAGGATCTGTCCTTCCAGTGAGTGCTCAGGGTTTATTTCCTTTAGGTTTACTCTCTTTGCAGTCCAGGGGACTCTCAAGAGTCTCCTCCAGCCCCACAATTCAAAAGCATCAGTTCTTCAGCTGTCAGCCTTGATAGTCCAGCTCGCACCTCCATACATCACTACAGGAAAAACCATAGCTTTGACTATGCGGACCTTTGTTGGCAAGGTGATGTCTCTGCTTTTTAAGATGCTGTCTAGGTTTGTCATCGCTTTCCTCCCAAGAAGCAGACGTCTTTTAATTTCATGGCTGCTGTCACCATCTGCAGTGATAATGGAGCCCGAGAAAGTAAAATCTGTCACTGCTTCCATATCTTCCCCTTCTATTTGCCATGAGGTGATGGGGCCAGTGTCCATGATACAGTGGACCCTCGACTTACAGACGGCTCCACTTACAGACTTTTCGAGTTACGAACTTCTCTGGCCGCAAAATTTAGGTTCGACTTGCAGCCGGAGAATCGATCTGCAGACCGGAAAAAAACCAAAATGGAACAAAAACGGTTGGTTACAGATTAATCGGTTTTCAATGCACTGTAGGTCAATGGAGCCTCGACCTACAGACTTTTTGACCTGCAGCCACCATTGCAATACGGATTAATTCCATAAATCGAGGGTCCACTGTAGAGACCAAATTGCTTACATGCGCTGGATTATGGAGAAAGCTAGAGAATTCCAGAAAAACATCTACTTCTGCTTCATTGACTACGTAAAAGCCTTTGACTGTGTCGACCACAGCAAACTATGGCAAGTCCTTAAAGAAATGGGAGTGCTTGACCACCTTATCTATCTCCTGAGAAACCTATATGTGGGACAGGAAGCAAGAGTTAGAATTGGATGTGGAACAACTGATTGGTTCAAAATTGGGAAAGGAGTACGACAAGGCTGTATATTGTCCCCCAGCTTATTTAACTTATATGCAGGATACATCATGCGGAAGGCTGGACTGGATGAATGCCAAGCCGTAATTAAGATTATTGGGAAAAATATCAACAACCTCAGATATGCAGGATACCACTCTGATGGCAGAAAGTGAGGAGAAATTAAAGAACCTCTTAATGAGGGTGAAAGAGGAGAGTGCCAAAAATGGTCTGAAGCTCAACATAAAAAAACCCTAATACAGTGGACCCTCTACTTACGGAATTAATCCGTATTGCAACGGTGGCTGCAGGTCGAAAAGTCTGCAAGTCGAAGCTCCATTGACCTACAATGCATTGAAAACTGATTAATCCTTAACCAGCCATTTTTGTTCCATTTTTGTTCTATTTTTTTCCTGGTCTGATTCTCTGGCTGCAAGTCGAACCTAAATTTTGCAGCCAGAGAAGTCTGTAACTCGAAAAGTCTGTAAGTCGAGCCATCTGTAAGTCGAGGGTCCACTGTAGGTTATATTGCAATAAAGCTTGTCACAGATCCCATTGTCTAGCTGTTGTTCCAAAACCCCTAGAGTACCTGGCGCTGAGACATATCAAACAGCACAGCTGACATGTTCCCAAAGACCAAAGGGAAGGGTAGTGGAGTTATACCCTGAAACCAGCTAATAGGTAGCCAGCACTTTTATTACAGAAAGATCCAGTTGAGCCAATGGCAATTTGTTGTTGTTTAGTCGTTTAGTCGTGTCCAACTCTTCGTGACCCCATGGACCAGAGCACGCCAGGCCCTCCTGTCTTCCACTGCCTCCCGGAGCTGGGTCAAATTCATGTTGGTTGTTTCGATGACACTGTCCAACCATCTCATCCTCTGTTGTCCCCTTCTCCTCTTCCCCTCACACTTTCCTAACATCAGGGTCTTTTCCAGGGAGTCTTCTCTTCTCATGAGATGGCCAAAGTACTGGAGCCTCAGCTTCAGGATCTGTCCT